TATTTTAGTAGAGACGGGGTTTCACTGTGTTAGCCAGGATGGTCTCGATCTCCTGACCTCGTGATCTGCCCGTCTCGGCCTCCCAAAGTGCTGGGACAGACAATTTTTTTAATCAATAATTCATCCTTTAGCAAATATTTATTTAGCATCTGCTATCTGCCAGGCACTGTCTAGTCACAAATGATTGCAGTGAACAAAAAACGAAAAACTCCTCTCATGGTATTTATATTTTAGTGGGGACAAACAATAAATCAGGGAAAGGAACGTATTTTTGTATGTGAAATGATGGTAAGCATTAGGAGGTTATTTTTATTTTTACTTTTATTTGTTTTTTGATAGGATGGGTTTTCATCATGTTGCCCAGGCTGGTCTTGAACTCCTGGGCTCAAGTGATCTGCCCGCCTCATCTTCCTTAAGTGCTGGGATTACAGGCGTGAGCCACTGTGCCTGGGCCTAAAGAGCACTTTAAAGCAAGAGGGAAATAGAGAATGTGAGTGGGGATGGGGTTATAAATGACTTGATCCCACTTATGTTTTAAAAGGGTCATTCTGGCTACCATGCTGAGAACAGACTATAGGGAGACAAGGACAGAAACGAACCAGTTAGGAGACTTCCCGTAATCCAGAGAGGGGTGAGAGCTAGACCAGTATGGTAGCAGCAGGAGTATGGAGAGAAGTGGTTGGATTCTGGATATATTTTGAAGGTCGAGTCAAAGGGATTTGTCAATGGAGTGTGAGGGGAGAGGGGAGTAGGGTTTTTGGCCTGAGAAATGAGAAGAATGGAGTTGCTGTTTACTAATATAGATGGGGTAAAGGTAGCTGTGGGGGGCATATCAGGAGCTCAGTTTTGGAACGTTTATTTTTTTTATTTTTTGAGACGGAGTCTCGCTCCGTTGCCCAGGCTGGAATGCAGTGGCGCCACTTCGGGTCACTGCAACCTCCGCTTTCCGGGTTCAAGCAATTCTCCTGCCTCAGCCCCCTGAGTAGCTGGAATTACAGGTGCCTGCCACCATGCCCAGCTAAGTTTAGTATTTTTAGTAGAGACAGGGTTTCACCATGTTGGCCAGGCTGGTCTCGAACTCCTGACCTCAAGTGATCTGCTTACCTCGGCCTCCCAAAGTGCTGGAATTACAGGTGTGAGTCTCCGTGCCCAGCAGGAAACATTAAATTTAAAATGCTTATTGGACCTCTAGATGGAGATGTAAGTTCAGTGTACAATATACACAAACCTGGATTTCAGGGCAGACATTTAAACTGGAGATAAATTGGAAATTAAGAGTCGTCAACTTATAGAGGGACTAAATCTTACCCAGGAGACTGGATGAAGTCACCAAGGCAACAAGTGTAGACACAAAAGGAATCGATGCACAACATCCAGCGATTGAGCGCTGCAGCTCCAATATTTTGAGAATGGAAAGATGAGAAAGAGCTGGTAAAGGAGACTGGAATGAGAAGCTAGAGGTAGGAGGAGGACCAGGAGCGTGTGATTGGGAGCAAAGTGAAGCGGGGTTTCAAGGGTCAGCTGTGTGAAATGCTGCTGAAGGGTCCAATAAAGTCCAGCCTGAAAATTGACCTCTGGATTGCACACTGGAGAAGTCAATAGTGACCATGTTAAAAACAGTCTTGTGGCTGGGCGCGGTGACCTGATCACCTGAGGTCGGGAGTTCAAGACCAGCCTGGCCAACATGGTGAAACCCCGTCTCTACTAAAAATATTTTTAAAAGGCCAGGCATGGTGGCTCATGTCTGTAATCCCAGCACTTTGGGAGGCCGAGGCGGGGGCGGATCATGAGGTCAGAAGTTTGAGACCATCCTGGCTAACACAGTGAAACCCCTTCTCTACTAAAAAAAAAATACAAAAAATTAGCCAGTGGTGGTGGGCGCCTGTAGTCCCAGCTACTCAGGAGGCTGAGGCAGGAGAATGGCATGAACCTGGGAGGCGGAGCTTGCAGTGAGCTGAGATGGCACCATTGTACTCCAGCCTGGGCGACAGAGGAGACTGTCTCAAAAAAAAAAAAAAAATTAGCTGGGTGTGGTGGCAGGCGCCTGTAATCCCAGTTACTCGGGAGGCTGAGGCAGGTTGCAGTGAGCCGAGATCGTGCCATTGCACTCCAGCCTGGGCAACAAGAGCGAAACTCTGTCTCAAAGAAAAAAAAAATAGTTCTGTGGTTGGGCGTGGTGGCTCACACCTGTAATCCCAGCACTTTAGGAGGCTGAGGCAGGCGGATCACCTGAGGTGAGGAGTTTTTTGAGACCAGCATGGAGAAACCCCATCTCTACTAAAAATACAAAATTAGCCGGGCGTGGTCGGGAGGCTGAGGCAGGAGAATTGCTTAAACCTGGGAGACAGAGGTTGCAGTGAGCCAAAATCACGCCATTGCACTCTAGCCTGGGCAAGGGGAGTGAAACTCTTGTCTCCAAACAAAAACAGTTTTGTGTGGAGCAGTGGGTGAAACCCTGACTGGAGAATGGGAGGAAAGAGATTGAGGACAGTGAATTTATAGGTAGGGAAAGAAACTCTGTGGTATTTGGAGAGAAGAGAGGGGTAAAGAGACTTGTTTTTTTTGTTTTGTTTTGAGACAGTCTTGCTCTGTCACCCAGGCTGGAGTGCAGTGGTGTGATCTTGGCTTACTGCAACCTCTGCTTCCCAGATTCCCGGATTCAAGTGATTCTTCCACCTCAGCCTCCCAAGTACCTGGGATCACAGGTGCCCGCCACCACACCTGGCTAATTTTTGTATTTTTAGTAGAGAGGGGGTTTCGCCATGTTGGCCAGGCTGGTCTCAAACTCCTGACCTCAGGTGATCCACCCACCTTGGCCTCCCAAAGTGCTGGGATTACAGGCCTGAGCTACTGTGCCTGGCGAAGAGACCTTTTTTTTTTTTTTTTTTTTGAAACTCAAAGAAATAACAGCACGTAGGTATGCTTGTGGGAATGGTGTAGTGGAGAGAGAAATTGATAGTGCAGGAGCAAGGGGAGGGCTGTTGGAGTGGTGGCCTGTACAGGCGAGAGGGGAGGGGATCCTGGGCCCAAGTGGAAAGGAAGTGCTCGCCAGGATCACAGACTCTTCACCCATAGCAACAGGGAGAAGGCAGGGACACAGAAGCAGGCAGGTGGGTGATGGGCGTGGGCGCTTGTGGAAGTTAGATATTTATTTTAATATGCATTAGGTAAAATAACCATTATCAAACCTGTCATTTCGTGGATGCTTTTGCAAAGTGGAGAAAAAATGTCAAGTAAATAATAGTAGGGTGGTATGCAGATAAAATACAAATGAAGATCACACTCGAATGCCTGGAGTTTTGGGAAAAGCTATTCTGAGCACTGGTCAGGAGGAGGATGTGTGAGACTGGAGGCAGGGAGAGGATTTGGGAGGTCATTTTTTCTGGGCAAGAAATGGAAGTCTGAGCTGCGAATGGCTGTGGAGGTGGAGAGCAGGCAGGAGTGGAATTTAGGGTGCAGTGCTGCTTAGGCTTGGAGGAAGAGGCTCTTTTCTGATGTGGGGCTGAGTGAATGGAAGTCCTGGACATGGCAGTGGGGCACCCTCAAGAGGAGCAGGTCTAGGGTGCAGATTTTATTCTTTTGTATGCAGAGACAAGAGAAAGGGCTGAGGCACAGCTGGCTTCCAAGCCTTCCCCAAGAACCATGAAATCCAGTGAGACCCATAAGGCAGGCCCTGCTCTGGGGAGCTCCTGCTTTGCGGTAACAAAGACATTCAGTGCTAGAGGAGGGCTGATGCTGCGGCTGTGGAAAGCTTCCTGGAGAAAATGACCTGGAAGGTTTCTGGGATGTGGCAGAGGAAGGAGGGTGAGGGTGCAGCCTGTGCTGGGATGGCAGGGAGCATGTGGAGTGTGTAGCCAAAGGCGGAGCCCTGGGGCCTGCAGTGCTCTGCTGTGGGCTGAGCCTTTAGCTGAAGCTTGCTCAGCAGGACTGGACAGGTGGATGGAAGGTCCTGGTAGTAAAGCTCTGGGATGAATCTGGAACTGGGCTTGGGAACAGAGCTCTTGGCCCCTGTGACTGCCCTCATGGTCTTCCCCAACCCCCACAGGCAACAGGACCTGTACCGAATCCTGAAGGCCTACACCATCTACCGGCCTGACGAGGGTTACTGCCAGGCCCAGGCCCCCGTGGCCGCGGTCCTGCTCATGCACATGCCTGCGGAGGTCAGCGCCCTGGTTCTGGGCCGGGAGGGGCAGGGGGGATCTCAGCCTGCAGTGGTGATGGGGGAGCTCCCTGCTCCCTGCTCCCTGCTTCTCAGGCCCCACCCCTCCTCCTTGTTCTTGCTCTTCTCAGCAAGCCTTTTGGTGCCTGGTGCAGATCTGCGACAAGTACCTGCCAGGTTACTACAGTGCAGGGCTGGTGAGTGTCTGAAGGCTGGGTGCATCCAGGGCTGTGGCATTTCCTCCAGGCTGCAGGGAGGTCCTTGCCTTGCCCCACCCTGGCCTTCTCAGCCTCTGCCCACAGGGCCTGCCAGTTCTCCCCTGATGGGGGCACAGCTGACTTAGCCCTCTTCTCATGACTTGTCCCACCTGTAGGAGGCCATTCAGCTGGACGGGGAGATCTTTTTTGCGCTCCTGCGCCGGGCCTCTCCGCTGGCACATCGCCACCTGCGGCGGCAGCGCATCGACCCTGTGCTCTACATGACGGAGTGGTTCATGTGCATCTTCGCCCGTACCCTGCCCTGGGCATCGGTGCTGCGTGTCTGGGACATGTTTTTCTGTGAAGGTACTTCTGTGGCCTTCCAGGCCATGAGGGGCTATGGTGGCTACCAGGGGTTCTGTCATATTTCTGGTGGTCCCTGGACAAAAGGTACTTGTGGGTGGAAGTTTCACCATAAGCAGCTGGGGGCTGGAGAAACAGGCCTGATTTTGGTTCAGCCGCCAACCTAGAGCCTGCTCTCCCTGCCAAGATCCTGAGACTGATAGCAGCTCATTTCCTTTCATGGGGCCTCAGTTTCCTCATCTGAGATTGGCAGTAGATGGGGATGAGGGCTGTGAGTCCGTCCTAATCAGGACAGGCTGAGATCCTGGGTCTGACCACCCTGTGCTCTCTACTCTTCACCCCTGCAGGCGTTAAGATCATCTTCCGGGTGGCCCTGGTCCTGCTGCGCCACACGCTGGGCTCGGTGGAGAAGCTGCGCTCCTGCCAAGGCATGTATGAGACCATGGAGCAGCTGCGTAACCTGCCCCAGCAGTGCATGCAGGAGGACTTTCTGGTGCACGAGGTAGGCCTGCACCCTCAGCACAGCCCCTGCCTGCATCAGCCTGCTCCCACCCTCAGCTCCATTCTGGTATGCACTTCCTCTCTGTCCAGGTGACCAATCTGCCAGTGACAGAAGCACTCATTGAGAGGGAGAATGCAGCCCAGCTCAAGAAGTGGCGGGAAACACGGGGGGAGCTGCAGTATCGGCCCTCACGGCGACTGCATGGCTCCCGGGCCATCCATGAGGAGCGCCGGCGGCAACAGCCACCCCTGGGCCCCTCCTCCAGCCTCCTCAGCCTCCCTGGTCTCAAGAGCCGAGGCTCCAGGGCAACTGGAGGGGCCCCCTCCCCGCCGCCTCCCGTCCGCAGGGCCAGTGCTGGGCCTGCCCCAGGGCCTGTGGTCACTGCTGAGGGACTGCATCCATCCCTTCCCTCACCCACTGGCAACAGCACCCCATTGGGTTCCAGCAAGGAGACCAGGAAGCAGGAGAAGGAGCGGCAGAAACAGGAGAAGGAGCGGGAGAAGGAGCGGCAGAAGCAGGAGAAGGAGCGGGAGAAGGAGCGGCAGAAGCAGGAGAAAGAGCGGGAGAAGCAGGAGAAGGAGCGGGAGAAGCAGGAGAAGGAGCGGGAGAAGCAGGAGAAGGAGCGGCAGAAGCAGGAGAAGGAGCGGCAGAAGCAGGAGAAGAAGGCTCAAGGCCGGAAGCTTTCGCTGCGTCGAAAGGCAGATGGGCCCCCAGGCCCCCACGATGGTGGGGACAAGCCCTCAGCAGCCGAGGCCCGGCAGGACGCTTACTTCTGACCTCTGCCCTGGGGCTGGACTGCATGGCCCCCTTCTTTCCCTCAGCCAAGAGCAGGCCTGGCCCGAGGTGCCACCCCCTAGCCCCTCGGCAGGCTGTCCCTCACTGGGGAAAGTGGCTTGGTTCCCCATCTCCTCGCCAGCCGCTGATCCCTACACAGGCAGGACAGATGGGCAGCTGCAAACGAGTCTGGAGCCTCTCATCTCCCATGAGGCTCAGCTGGGGTCTTTGTCGCTCCTGCCCCAGTTCCCTCTGGGTCCCCTACTAGGTGCTGTCCTGATTGGCCCGTTGTCATCCCAGGGGTGACTCCTGGTGATGGGAGTCAGCAGTTTCAAATTCTTACACTCCATGGCTCCCCTTACCATGAGGTGGAGCTGGCTTCCTTTTCCCTGTCTTCAGCCCTCCCTGTCTCCAATTCCTGGCCAGGGCTCTCCTGGACCTTTCTGTGTTGTAATTATGTACAGAGGATGGGGTTGGCCTGGGGTGGGGATGCTCGCTTTTGTCTTCTGTCCTTTGGTTCTCCTTCCATAATGCTCCTGTACCCAGTTTATTTAAGGGGACATGCACTGGAATAGGAAATGTCCCCCATATCCCTTCCCGCACCCTGCTGTGCACCCTCCAAACCCACCTTGCTCTGTGTTCTCAGGCCCCCCTGCTTTGTCTCACCAGGACCCCTACCTTTCACCTTGTTCCCTTCCACCCCTCCAGTTAGTCCCTATCTGGGTAAGGGTCTTCCCTTGAGCTCCAGGGGGTGGAACCCAATGTTTACATTCTCTTCTGTCTCTGCCCCCACCCCATGCAGCGCTTTGAGGAATCAGAAAAGAACCTGCTGTTGTACCTGAGTCTGTCTCCTGCCTTGTTACTTGATGGGGGTTGGGGTGGGGTAAGGATGAGGGAGGGAGGGAAGAGACAGAGCCAGGACCTGGGTCGCTGTTAAAACAGTCTGCTGTCTTGGCAAGTAGGTATCTCTTGGCTTTGGGTCCATCTCTCAAGTCACTCATCAGACACTGGTTGAGCTCCTACTCCAGCTTTGCCTGGGATGTGCTGTCTCCATTGTCACTGGCTGCCTGGAGCTCTCTAGGTACCACCTGCAGCACCCAGATCTGCTTCCCAAAGTGCTCATGCAACTCCTGGAAGCTGGAACGGGTACTCATGGTGGCTAGAAAGCCACTGTCCTCTGGGCATGAGATGGGTTCTTGGCCAGCTGCCTGGCACAGCTCCCAGTATTAGGTCTTGAGTGGGGGCAGCAGCCCAGCCAGCCACCTCCAGCTCACACCAGCCAGTGCCCACAGCCAAGTCTCCAGGTTTTCCTGGGTTTCTGCAGCCAGCTTCTAGGCCCGCCCACCCCAGGAGTCAGGATGGTAAAGGCATAGGGTTCTTAAGGTGTAGCTCCACCTGGCAGTTCTCCAACAGGATGAGGCCCAGGGGTGCATGATCGGTCTGGTGTTCTAGGTAGAAGAGGTTTCCTTGGAGGATGAACCATCGGTGCTGGTAGCTGAGGTTTCGGGTCCCCTTCTTTAGCAAGATGCCTTCCTGGTCTGGGGCCTGTGTTCTGTAACCATGGAAGAAACTGAGCATGGACTTTCTGTGCAGTTCCATCGTGATCCAATATGGGAGGAAATCCCTAAGGAGAGAGAAGTGGCCCATCTAGTTGCCTTGGGGAAGAGTAGGGGAACTCTCACACTGTCCTCGTCTGGCTCCAGCAGGTGCCGCCTGGGCAGTCTTGGTTTAGGGGGATGCAGGCTCCGAGTGTCCTCAAGAGCTAGAGGTTCCAGTACAGGGGCTGACCCCCGCCACCTCCCCCAGTCCCGCTTCTGCTTGGGCCACATTCTGTTACCTGGGCACGAGTTGCTAGGCCCTGTTTGCTCAGAGGAGCTTCATGCTACAGAGAGGCACTGTTGCCCTTTTCCAGGCTGTGGTGCTAGGCCCTGTTTGCTCAGAGGGGCTTCATGCTACAGAGAGGCACTGTTGCCCTTTTCCAGGCCTATCTGAGAGCAGGGCACAAGGGACTTCTGGCCTGGGTACTGGTGCCAATGCCACCTCTCCAGTGATGGCTCTCCCACCTCAGAAGCCAGGAACTCGCCCAGGGTATGGGCGTGGGACAAATGACTTCCCCTGGGTCCTAAAGGGAGCTGTGTCCAGAAAGTGCTCCGAGAGCCGTCCAGGGGCCTCGGGCTGGCCATCGGGAGAGCCAGGCTTCCCCTCAGGGAGGGCAAGGCTCCACCTCTCAGACTAGGAGAGCTTACCACCGGACCATAGGAGTGGGAAGGCAGGATTTCTAACGAGACGGTAGGGGCGCTGAGCCCTCAGCCCTGGGGGAAGGGTGACTCGAACCCAGGACAGGAAAAAGAGGCAGCGACCCACTGGCCCTGCTCGGACTTTGCCCCTCCATCCTGACCCTGGGCGACCCTTTAAGTAGATGCTCTCGTTTTTCTCCAGAGCCTCTACTGCTTGAATGAGGGAATCGAAGGTACTTCCGGCCATTTCTCACGCCCGGTCAGAGTGTAGGCATTCTCAGGTCCCCTCTTCTCGCCATTGTCCTCCCACGCGACTGACGTCACTTCTTGCGGGAGAGAGGGTGGAGGCGTCTTCCCCCGCTCACCGCGTACTTCCGCCCGCTCTTCCAGTTAGTTCCCTAACCCGAGTGAAGCCACTTCCGGGATTCCCAGGCGCCTTCCACAGTCCTCTTCCGGGTGATGGCGGCCGGGTGCCCCGGATGTAGCCTTGGCGCAAGCATCTTTTCTTTTCACCACCTCGCCTCTCGCGGAGTCCCAGGTGAGCGCGCGAGGGTGGGACAGCCCGGATCCCCGTGGCCCTCTAATTTGTACACAGCCCGGGACAGTTGGGGTTCCCCACACGGAATTGGGAGTTCGGAGCAGGGAGGAACGGGGTGGCGAGAGCGCCAGGTCCTGGGTCTGCCCGGGCCCCGCGAGCTCCGAGAGAGCCAGAGTAGGAGGCGGGGGTCAGCCGGTCGAGCCGGTGGCGCCCAGACTGCGGGGGCTGGAGTTGGGAGCGGTCACGTGGTGAAGCCTGTCCCCTGTTGGCCAGGGTCAGGGGATGCAGAGGGTCCGCTCCTCCGTCCCCACCCCATTTAACTCGCGGATGCTAGACCCAAGTCCTTCAGGCCTCCTGGCTGCCAACTTCTCTTCAGCCCTTGCTTTTGTGCTCCCTCCGCTCCCAAACTGTACCTGTCACAGACCAGGAAAAATATTTGCTGTGCTGGGTCCTCTGGTGGCGAGTCCCCTCCTCACCCCATTCTCTTTCTCTGCATCCTTTCCTCAGCTTGAGAAACACCTCTCTGCCCCGTCATGCCAAAGAGGAAAGTAACCTTCCAAGGCGTGGGAGATGAGGAAGATGAGGATGAAATCAGTGTCCCCAAGAAGAAGGTGAGGGGGCCAGACTCCTTTGTGTGGGGGAGAGAGAGGAGCTAGAAGCCTGAGGAGAAAGAAAGCTGGCGGGAGTGGGGCGGGGCGGGCAGGCAGAGAAAAGCCTAGTTTTTTCAGGTTCTCTGAGGAATGGGTTGGGAGCATCTTCAGTGTGGGTCCTAAAATATTTGGGGAAGTAGTCGAGATCCTGAAATATTTGGGGAATATTTGGGTCCAGATCCGGAAGTATTTGGGGAGGTAGCCAGTAACCTGCATTTCTTGACTTGACTCCTGCTCACAGCTGGTGGACCCTGTGGCTGGGTCAGGGGGTCCTGGGAGCCGCTTCAAAGGCAAACACTCTTTGGATAGCGATGAGGAGGATGATGATGATGGGGGGTCCAGCAAATATGACATCCTGGCCTCAGAGGATGTAGAAGGTGAGCTGTACCCAAGAATACACTCTGCTGGAGGAACAAGTAGGGGTCTCTGGTGATGTGGAGCGAGGGAGGCTCCGGTCTCTTTTTTCCATGCCTAGAAAAGGGCACCTGTGTCTTTGGTGCAGGTCAGGAGGCAGCCACACTCCCCAGCGAGGGGGGTGTTCGGATCACACCCTTTAACCTGCAGGAGGAGATGGAGGAAGGACACTTTGATGCTGATGGCAACTACTTCCTGAACCGGGATGCTCAGATCCGAGACAGCTGGCTGGACAACATTGACTGGGTGCGGCCCAGGGGCTGGTGTGGCTGGGGCCTGGGAGTGGCGGATGCTAGGCCTGCTCCCATGGCAGTTCGTGGGAAATCACTGCATCTTTCCATTACAGGTGAAGATCCGGGAGCGGCCACCTGGCCAGCACCAGGCCTCAGACTCGGAGGAGGAAGACAGCTTGGGCCAGACCCCAATGAGTGCCCAAGCCCTCTTGGAGGGACTTTTGGAGCTCCTGTTGCCTAGAGAGACAGTGGCTGGGGCACTGAGGCGTCTGGGGGCCCGAGGAGGAGGCAAAGGGAGCAGCAAGGGGCCTGGGCGTCCCAGTTCCCCTCAGCGCCTGGACCGGCTCTCCGGGTTGGCCGACCAGATGGTGGCCCGGGGCAACCTTGGCGTGTACCAGGAAACAAGGGAACGGTTGGCTATGCGACTGAAGGGTTTGGGGTGTCAGACCGTGGGACCCCACAATCCCACACCCCCACCCTCCCTGGACATGTTTGCTGAGGAAGTGGCAGAGGAGGAACTGGAGACCCCAACCCCTACCCAGAGAGGAGGTAAGCTTGGAGGACAGAGGAGGGGGCAGTGGGCGGGAAGTGAGACACTGGAGGTCAAATGGCTTTGCCTGTTATTTTAGAAGCAGAGTCGCCAGGAGATGGTCTGGTGGATGTGATGTGGGAATATAAGTGGGAGAACACGGGGGATGCCGAGCTGTATGGGCCCTTCACCAGCGCCCAGATGCAGGTGAGCTGCTTTCTCCCTCCTTCTGGCTTGTCCCTGCTTCCCCTACTCCTGTCAGTCCTTCCCCAGCTCTGCCCTCTCCTTGCAGACCTGGGTGAGTGAAGGCTACTTCCCGGACGGTGTTTATTGCCGGAAGCTGGACCCCCCTGGTGGTCAGTTCTACAACTCCAAACGCATTGACTTTGACCTCTACACCTGAGCCTGCTGGGGGCCCAGTTTGGTGGGTCCTTCTTTCCTGGACTTTGTGGAGGAGGCACCAAGTGTCTCAGGCAGTGAGGAAATTGGAGGCCATTTTTCAGTCAATTTCTCTTTCCCAATAAAAGCCTTTAGTTGTGTATTGGGGCCTTTGGCTGTGCTGATGGCCAGAAGCCAGGGGCCTTCTCCACAGCCACTTTGGACTTGCCTTGGTCCCTGAGTGTTTGCTCCCATGAAGATCTTCTTTGGAGGTGCCTGTCAGGTGTCCTGTGGCCTCACTGCCTGGACTCTGCTTGCTGTGTAAACACCCCCAACTGCGCTACTCTGTGTTCCTCTCTGAGGTTTCTTGTTTGATTCTCCTTAGGTCTTTGGCTTTCAGGATGTCAGATTCTTTGTCCTTGTAGCCACCAGGGGATGGAGCCCCAGAAGTGGAGCTTTTAGGCCTGGAAGGACCGGGGCATGGAGAAGACATTGGGTCCCTGTTGGGGGTGAGCATGGAAACCTTTTACTCTTGCTCCACCCTCTCAAGCTCCATAGACATTGGGCAGAAGTGGGATGAGTGGTCCAAGACCGAGATCCCTAAGGTTCTGAGAGCCAGTATCTTCCCTAGCCTGGCTTTCTTCTCTCCTTGCAGTCGTTCCCATAGCCCTTCAGTGAAATGCAAACTCAGTGGCCAAGCGTGGGCCAAGCGTGCGTTGTACTGGCACAGAGGGGCAGTGACTCACTGGAGGTCACAGGAATCAAAGGGCTGGCCCAGAACCAGTGGGCTCCTTTCCCAGACCTTTCTTGGCACAAAGCCTTTGCTGCCTGGCCTTTGAGGCCCTGCGGCCTACATTCCTTC